GTGTCTGGTAAAGGCATTTCGCTGGAGGAGACAGAAATGGCAGCTAATGATCCTCTGATGCGGACGCTGGTGGGATGGTGCGTGAGGACAAGGGGGGACCCTATCGCTATTGTGGGATGGAAGAGAGGGGTTGAGGGCTGAAGTGCGGGAAATAGGTCAGACCTAACTGAAGGCCCAGACAAACATGGTGCTGGGGAATCCTTGGTTGTGGATATCTCAAAGGTCTCCTCATCGAAGTTGGCATCAACAGAACAGATGCGACGGACACTGAGGAACTGGGAGAAAGGAACAGAATCTTTACAGGAAGCAGGGTGTGAGGATATATAATCAATGTTGGGGGTCAGTGGGTTTGTAGTGGATATTGGTGGTCTGCCTATCCCCAGAAATAGAGACAGATGTTGAGGAAGGGAAGAGAGGAGTCAGAGATGGACCAAGTGAAGGTAAAAGAGGGAAAGAAATTAGAAGTGAAGTAGATAAACCTTACCAATGCTATATGAGAGTGGGAAGCAGCACCAATGATGTTATCAATATACCAGAGACAGAGTTGTGGGTGGGGGCTGGAGTAGGACTGAAACAAGAAATCTTCCATGAACCTCACAGAGACCGGCAATAACTAGGGCCCATGAGGGTACCCATGGCCACCCCTTTGACCTGAAGGAAGTGAGAGGATTTAAAAGAGGAGTTGTTCAGGGTGAGGATGAGTTCAGCCAGGGGACAGAGGCTGGTGGTGGATGGGCATGGTTCAGGTCTTTTTTTCCAGGAAGAAACAGAGAGCCCTGACACCATCCTGATTGGCGAATGGATGTGTAAAGGATTGCCTGTCCATGGTGAAGAGGAGGTGGCTGGAGCCTACAAACTGGAAGTTCTGAAACTGACATAAAGCATCAGAGGAATCGCAGCTGTAAGTGGGAGGGACAGCTCGGGGGAGAAAAAAAATATCGAATCGAGATAGGAAGAGATGAGTATTGTGGGATAGGAGCAAATAGAAACAATCAGTCTACCAGGGATTTTGGGAAAGAGGTAGAAGAGGGCTGTGTGTGGTTGGGAGACAATGAGCTTGGAGGGGCAACCACCAGATGAAATAAGGTTAGTGACCATTGTGGTCACAGTGGCCTGATGATTCATGGTGGGGTAATGGTCCAGGGTGAGATAGGAGGTATCTGAGAGCTGGCACTCAGCCTCTGCAATGTCAGTAGGAAATATGGAACACATAGATTTCAAGCTTCTGTCTTTCTTGACTGCTCATGATTTGCTTGGACTGGGGACCTCAATATTTGCTGGGAATCCTGCAATCTCAACTGAGTGCAGGCCTTTTTCTGGCCAACTACTGTTGAGTGGCCCTCATGATTGTTAACTGTGGACCCATTCTCTCCCCAACAGTGACACCACTGTAGCCATGTTGCCTCAAGAAAGATTCACCTCACAATCATTGCTATTGGCTTGACATTATTATGATTCTTCTTCATCAATAACGTCGCCACCGCTGACACTGTGGAATTGGTTTTTAAATTTGGTTGCATGGTAGTACTGGATAATTACATTTAGATTCTAATAGCTTCTGCCCTATTGAGATATAAATCTGCAAGACTTTTAAGGTAGATAAAGAGCGTACCTAAAGTGGAGGAGAGCGTCATTAACTTGGGCAAATGGAGGTTGTATTACATCAATGGGACCTCACAGCAATTTTACCAGAGGCTAGAGTGGAGAGGCCATCATAGATATGACCCACACCCCATATAGACAGAGATCAGGGAATTGTCTACAGACAGAAGAGATCCTGCTGATATATTGCAAAAAATTCATTGGCAGGGCTGGGAGGAGCAAGAATGGTCTCTCCATGCCACTTACTGGGAAATCCACAATCTGTTCCTATTTGCAGTTGTCTTGGGTTCTCTTGACACCGATTCAGGGCAGGAATTTGACTGATGGCATTTAAATGTAACCCAGTGGTTATAATCACTGTGGTCTCCTGGCACATCCACTGGGTGGAATACCAACATGCCGGACCAGGTTCCGGAAACAGAGGACAGTAGAGGGCAGCTGTTGTCAACTACCTTGTCCAAGTGGTTACTGTTCACTCAATGCCAACTGTGTCAATTCAGCCAAGTCTGCTCTGATTTTCCTCTGGTATCAATATAAACATTGCCAACAGGGGTCACCCAACAGTCTTTGGGTGCAGGAATCCTGATCAACTTTCTCCTTCCTGGCTCAGAAGTACAGAGTCATTGCATAACCGACCGGCCAAATACCACTATGGAGTATGCTCAGATCATTGGTGGAACCTTATTCCTGTAATTCCGACACCCACCCCAGTAATATACTATGCTATTGGGACAGCTGAAATATAAGTTTAGTACCATGATTTTTACTAAGATTAAATTATCTCAAAACCAAGTCATTGCAACATCTGGAAATTTCAGGCAGCGATTTTAAGAAGAGGATGTAAAATATGGAAGGCTGACATCACTTTTCATAAAACAATGTGCCATCAATACTTGGAGGCCACAGCTCACAGTAATCTGCAAAATGTAGTAGAGATCTGCAAAGTAACAGAAAACCATATCACTGTTGGCTGGCATCCTCTGTACTTTATAGAATGCAAGGAAATCTGAATTAGCTTTCGGTCTGAACAGCTTTACAATTCTTCTCTATGTGCATGCATATAGATTTACCATTAATGTTCCTGCAGACTGCACCAATTCAGTTTGAGTTCAGTTCTTTTTGTGTTTAAGTGTGGTTTTGTGGAACAGGTGTTATTTGAAGTTAACAAGCGGTTTGCTCCAAAATTTATTGTTCAATGAAATAAAAGCAAGCAACTCTTCTGAATGAATACTTGCTGGTATCCATTTCATTGCTCTCCTTAGAACACCTGTCTTAGGTTTTAAACTATAATTGTGGTAAAAATCCACCAAATGGATTATGTTCCATGATACACTAAGCCACTCTTTGTTAGAAAACACCATTTTCCACATTTTAAGATGGAAATTGGGCATTCAGTTTAAAGCAATTCTAAGTCTATCATTTTTGGCTAAATCTTCTACTTCAACTGCCAGGCCTTGCTCTCACCAGTTTATTGTGGATAAACCAGATTAACAGTTTCAGGCTCTTTATTCTATTATCGTTCGTGCACTTCCTCGCTGAGGACTTTAGAGTCAATGACAAATGGCAGACCACTCATGGAATAAAGTTGCATAGAGATGGCAAAATAATTACTCCCAACATTCATTTCCTTAAGTGTATTTTTATATGCACCATTAATTTAACTTTGCTTGGAAGCAGGTCGGCTATTTGACTTGACTACGTAGCTTCATGTGATGCGTGCTTCCCTGTAAAGAAAATGGAAGTGGCATCCTTTAGAAGCGTGAAGGATACAGCATGGCACTGTGCTGGTAGATGCTATTAGATTCTGATCAATGCACAACACCATCAATTTTGTATGTTTTGCAGGTAAGATTTTTATCTCACCACTGAAATGTACATTGATGGAATCTGAGGCCACCCAGTCATTGAGGTTCTAGCTATCTCTCTGTGCATATCTGTGCACACAGCTGGAAGTTTGTTTATTTCTTGCTGTAATATAACTTTTTACCACAAGCGTCATTTACTCACATTAATCACTTCTGTAGCTAAACTGCAGAAGGTTCCCAAGCTTTTTGTCCTTAAGGCATAGGCAGAGAAAATCAAGTCTCAAGAACATCATTTAGGCCTAGAAATTGCAGTGTCCAATGACAGAAGATGCAGTTGCTGAGATCCATCACTGACTCACCTCTCTATCTCCGCTCAGCCTGTTGCAAATGTTACTAGTTGTCCTTTCCTCACCCCTAGCAGAAGGAAATTTGGGATCAAAAGCCTGCTTGATTTAACTCTTTTTCTTCCTAGGCACACCAAGGGAATGTAATGGTTGAGAATCCCTTTCTAATTGTTTTTATAACTGGCTGCTCCTGACTTGTACTGACTATGGTTGGTGGGCCCCTAAATTATCCCTGTTTATATGAGTGTGCAATACACCTATTTCTGACAGGAACTCTAGCTGCCACATTTAATACTGCCGGAAAAAACATTCGGAATGAACACAGTTCAGTGACAAGTCGTCAGGACAAACAACTATTTTGTTTTGGTCACACTGCTTGCTGAGGTGAAAATTGCTTCTTCATTACTTTGTTTTAAAGTTGCAATTGCATTTCTGACTTCAGGCAGCGTGCACTTTTGGTACGGGCTGGCTGCTTTGCCCACATCTAGAATGTTTTGCTGGCATCCTTACATCGCCTGGTGAATAGCAGTCTGCCTGAGAATAAACTGAAGAGTCTTTATGGACCACTGGATAAATTACACAGTGTAATGTGGTACTGAGCCATGCTGACTAGTAAGGCTACAGGTTTATTGTTTCATCTGTACTGTTAACTGATACCAGTTTAGATGATGCAGTAAGCACTACAGCTGTTCTCAATGTGACTAAGCTTAGAAGTGGGCAGCTCAACATCCTGGTGGGAACTACATGAGTCTGCACATTTGGCTCAAACCCTTAGTGCAAAATAGCCTGTCAACAGCACAATCTAACTGACTAATGAAGCTTGGTTACTTAGCTGCAGTTCTAGGTAGCTGCTGGAACCATAAAACTTCAGTTTAATGTGAGCCAGCACCTTTGGTGAGCAGGGGCCAAGCTCGGAAAGGGAAGTTTAAAAAGTTATTTGTAAAGAAGGCATATGGATCATTTTAACTGAATAGAGCAGGGGTCAGCCATGGAGACCATTGTGCGGCTTCACTATTCAGTGAGATCATGGCTGACCTTTACCCTCATCTCCACTTTCCTGCACTATCCCAATATCCCATTTTCATTTGGATTATTGATTTCCTGTTAGTCATTGCACTTTATTATAGCATTACTTATTTCAGGTAACTTTGCTTAACAAACACCAATCAAAAACCCAAGGCAACCATTTTTATTATTAACTAGCTTCAATACATTCATTCTGCATGAAGAACAGCATTGAAATACTTACAGCTCCTCAAGGAAATGCATGTTGAAAAGACCATTCCGCGGTAGCTCAGTAATATTGTTCATGCTGAGATCTCTAGGAAAGACAAATGAAGTGGAGATCGTGTTAATCTTAGTTACAACATTTCAATTTAACTATTTACATTGAACTCTGTTAACTAATAATTACATTGAAAACATCCTGTAACTGAAGATGTTAGGTTTTTAAAAAATCAGGTGGGAAATAATTAATTCTGGAATGACTTAGATGCTCATTTTAATGTCAAGTTTGGAATGTCAATTACATTATATGTACTCTAGAAATATTCTGAAAATTGTTTCTACAAAGCAGTGTACGCTACTCTGTGAAATGAATTAATGATTGATAGCAATTAATTATACAACTGGAAATGTTTTTGTATATTTAACAAATGCTTTTAAATGAGCATGTATAAATAATATGTTTATTTTCTTTGGAGGCAAATGAAATAAGATGCCAAACAAAATTTTAATGTGAACCAGTTCTATACTTCATTTCCTGATGGTCATCCCTTAGTAATTTCTGGTACATATCATCAATAATATTCCTTTGTAATGCACGAAGTCATATCGTATCAGGTGAATACCATTTCTATTCACTTCAATATTTTTAATAGATTTTATTTGTACATATGCCCATTAGGCTTTATCACAGGCTATGGGATGACATTGATAAGCACAGGGAACCTAATCAAATGTAAGCATCTGTCTAACAATACCGTCCCTTTTAGATGCCAGAACAATTTCATAAACCAAAGGGGAGTTCATCCTCAGGCTCAGTAATAGTAAAGATTCTGATTTTCTTGTAGAACTAAGCAAGACCAACAACTCAGGAACATGAGATCCTAATAATGTTTAAAAGCAATTAAAATTATTTTGCATGCAATTGGCTTGTAAATTGGAATAGCCATTCCAAAACCAAGATACCATAACAAACATATTAAATGTGATCCCAGATGATAACTCAAATGGAGGTTTCACTAAATCAACTTTGTCTTTAAATTAAGATTTTAACTGCAAAGCTTTGCTCTGTTACTATAAGCTTTTGTTACGTTTGACATTCTTGATATTTTTTGACATTATCTGAAAATGCATCCAACTTGTTTTCTTTAAAGTAAAGTTGAATATACATATTTATTATCATTTTCTACATTCTTTTCTGCTTGGATATACTAATGATTTCCAGGATAGTCTGCAAAAGGCAAATGGCCTATGGATAATTACTACCCAAAAAGATTTTAAATATAAACAGTCCTGCTATAAGTCTCTCTTGGGCAGGTGCAATCAACCAACTAAGCTATTTCTGTGGTGTACGATGAATAGAATGAAATACCTTCATGAAAGCTATAGGAAGTTCACTAATAAGAGCTGTCAAAAGAATCTCCAGTTTTGTGCAATGTGACTTTGCAATTCTTTTATCACACCGACTGCAGACAGCTGTCAGATGTTTTGACTGCATAATACAGGAAAGTTATGCCAAAGTTTAACTGGTCGAGTAAAAATCCTTGACAATATCATCAAAAGATAATGGAAAACAACATCTAACTGAATGAAACTTTCATTATCTGTACCAGTGATCACTGCCAGACCCCACAGTTTTACAAAGCACACTATGTGCTTTTATTACTGATACATGCCTCTAAGAATGAAGAGTAAACCTTGGAATTCAGTACACTGGAACACATACATGCAGTTAGCATTTTAATATTTAGATAATTATTCAAAAACATTTTAAATACTTTTTTCCACAGCTTACTAACTGTTTACAAATCTTGAAATTGTATAAAGAAAATCAATCCAAGGAAACAGCTGAAACATGTGTCTACAAAAGGGAAGATGAGTTTTAATAAAAATGTTTTTGAAAATAAAATGTACATTATCTTCTCCCAGTAAAAGGTTCTTAATTGTCCTCAAATACAAGTACAGTTTGCAATCACTACTGGTTGTATTTATTGAAGCTTAAGATTTTTCAGCATCATTTGCATGTCATAAAAATGGTTCCAATGGGTTGATATCTTAGGATTCTACCCCTAAAGATAAGATTATTGTTTGTACACCATTCTCTGTCTGCCTGACATGGGTGATATGTCTTTACTAATTATTAATATAGCACTTGTTTGGCCAAGTTTTTCTGGAAGTGACATACATTACAGCAGTTCATAGAATCCCTACAGGGTGAAAGCAGGCCATTTGACCCATGAGTCCACACTGACCCTCATAAGAGCATCGCACCCTGACCCACTCCCCTACTCTATCCCTGCATACCCCATGCTAATCCACCTAATCTACACATCCTTGGACACTATAGGCAATTTAGCATGGCAAATCCACCTAACCTGCACATCTTTGGGCTGTGGGAGGAAACCAGAACACCCAGAGGAAACTCACGCAGACAGGGCAAATGTTCAAACTCCATGCAGACAGTTGTCCAAGGGTGGAATCGAACCCAGGTACCTGGCACTGTGAGGCAGTGCTAATCACTGAGCTACCGTGCAACCCAGTTACTAAATGATGATATTTCTCATGTGCATTCTGGCTGTAGTAGCTGCTGAAAATGCCTGGGGAAGGACAATCTGGACAGCAAGCAGAACTACTAATGTTGTGTTTGGGACAGACGCTGTAACCAGTGGCAGCTCTGAAACAATCAAAGACATGTCTACACCTAATCTACCTTCTCACATTATCTTCACCCTCATCCTGAAATTTGTTTCTGATTTACTACCTCCAGATGATGTAAGCAAGCTATGTCCCTTGCTTCTCCACCCTCACCCCACTTGACTAATACCATCGACACTCTGTGTCCCTTCCACTTTCGTGACTTTCTTCCTTGAAATACTCAGGAACCGCAACCTGGTTAAATGGTGTTGAAAGAGAAAGGATGTGAAAGAACAGCAAGACAGTGATGACATAGAAACAAGGTTGAATAGGCGTTCTGTTGCAGAGAACACAAGTCGAAAACCCAGATGGAGCAGTCCAAAGAGAAAGGCAGATGAACGTGCGCAATTGGCGTATTGGCAGAAAGCCTGCAATCATGTCAAGTCATATAGAGGTGCTCTTGGTATTGTGTGTCAGCCAGCCTCTGGATTCTGGCACCCATGCCAAGATGGTGTTGTCCCATTTTGGGCCGTCTTGGACTGGGAGTTGCTGAACTCATCCTGTAAGGCCACCTATAGTCTCCCCAGTTGATAGTGAACAGCCATCCACAATGTTGGAGCTCCTAGCGTAGCATAAAGTGGAGGCTTGAGGACCAGGCAAGGTACAAGCAAGATAGACATTAAGAGCATGTACAGAGGTGATTAGTTTATTTTTGTATGAAATATAATATGCTTGAACGCTTAAATCTGGTTTAAAATGTTTACTTTCTGGTCACTTTTGTTCAGTATTATAGTCCAAGATAATGCTGTGATGACCAGTCACAGAGTTGAGGTTGGGTTGTAATGGTCCATTATGAGGCATCGCCATACATGACACCAAAAATAATTATATTCAGTGAAAGTGAGTCCCTAACTTACGAATCATTCGTTATGCCATTCTCAAAAAAATTGCAAATTAGTTTAGAGTAACAACTGACTGTGTCCTCTGGTTCCTGAGCAGTAAGTCAGTACATATTACATGACGGGACCCAGGCAGAAATGTAATCGCGTCTTGAGTGCAACATCTTTATCTTACTTTTTTCCCCATTTCCTTTTGCTGTCATTTTTGCTTTCGTGAGCTTGAAGATGGAAGAGCATGAGTTGATGGTTGAAGAAACACTGTCACTTCCATACTCATAGTGCTCATATTTCACAGGGATCGATTCGAAGGAGGATTTGCACATGGTGAGACATCAATCTCAGTGCCTTATTACTGGGACAATTTCTTATCCTAATATGTATAAATGATCTAGAGGTTTGCAGATGACACAAAACTTGAAAGAATAGTGAAATGTGAAAAAGGCAGTGTCAAATACAAAATTACATGGATTACTTGGTGGATAGATGGGAGGTGAAGGCATCCTTACAATGGTGAAACTCAATTTTCAATTTTAAGAAGTGTGAGGTACACTTCTACATCTTTGTACAACATGGCCAGATAGTATCCAACAAAGGGTACTATTTAAAGGGTGTGCATGAACAGAAAACCTTGATGTATATGTGCATATGTCATGGAATGTAGCAGGACAGGTAGAGGGAGATGATAATAGAGCAAAATATCTTCTAGGCTTCATTAATAGAAGCATAGAATACAAGAGCAACAAGATTATGCTGAATTTATGTAAGGCATGGTTAGACCTCAGCTGAAGTAGTGTACACATTTCTGGGCACCGCATATTAGGAAGTATGTGAATGCACTCGAGGCAGTGTAGAAGAGGTTTACAAGAATGGCTCAGGGGATGAGAATCTTCAGTTATTAGGATAGATTGATAGAATTTGGGACTGAATCCCATGGTGAGGAAACAGCTACATGGAGATTTGATAGAAGCTTACAAAATCATGACAGGCCAGAACAGAGTAGCTGGTGAGAAACTATTCCCTCATAAAAGGATCAAAAAACATGAGCACAAAAGAAGCCAATGTGAGGTGAGAAAGAACTTATTCACACAGCAGGTAGTTAGAGTCTGGGATGTAGTGCCTGGAAGTGTGGTGGGAGCAGGTTCAATTGGGCCATTCAAGAAGGCATTAGGTGACTATTTAAACAGCAGCAATGTACAAGAGTTATGGGGAAAAGATAGGAAATTTGCAATAAGTCAAAATGTTCAGAGAGTGGTACAGACCTGATGGGTTGAATGGTGTCCTTCTGTACCGTTTAATTATTCTGTGATTCAATTCAGGGCAGAGGGAAAGTTCACTAGAGGTTGAGGACTTTGATACAGAAAACAGCTATGAGCATGTGCACAGAAATGCTTAATGCACAGGCAGGTCTACTCTACTATCAAGGAACATGGAGGAGATCTACACCAACCCTGCACAGAGCTTTGAGCCATTTCCAACATAGAATTGTTAGCCAGGTGTGTGATCCCACATGTGAGCGTAACTGTTCTGCAGTTGCTCTTGGCTGATGTCTCAGATTTCATTTCAG